TCCGTTCAACGCTCCTATATGGCTGTGAAACCTGGCCCATCAGGTCGACAGACATGAAGAGACTCGTCACGTTCGATCATCGCTGCCTTCGCAGCTTAGCTCCTCTGATGGGAGCATCGCGTGAACAATGAGCGTGTTCGGCGTCGCGTATTTGATGCAGGAAGAGCGAGTGAGCCGCTCAGCACCATTATTTCACGCACCAGGCTCCGATGGTTGAGCGACGTGTTGCGCATGCCAGCACACCGACTTCCGCGACGTGCATAGTTGGCGCATTGTGGGTGTTGTTATAAGAGGAGGATGGGAGGCCAAGTGATGACTTGGTCGAAAGAAATGAAAACCCTAACTTCGAATTTGGCGCCAGTTGGTGCATCCCGACTGCCTGGCTGAGGTCCTAAGTACGGTGAACACGTTTGGTTGGACACATTTGCTGATACGGCTGGCAGCTGGTCCCACTAGCGTTTGTGTTGTGAGTTCCTTTGTCCATCCTCTCCTGTTTAGCATCCCCTGCAATCAACATCTTACTTGCTAGTTATATTATGACTCTCTTTTATAACAGCCAGCTATTAGCTCTCCGGAACGATGTCCATCCGTTACTGGGGACTCAGCGGGCGTGCCACCGTTTGTTTTCCTTTTCTTCTCTTTTGTATTGCCGCACAATAGCTGAGGTGTTTTCCATCTGCAGCTAACGTGCATAATGATGATGATGATGAACCCTACCGAAAGGCCAACAACCTACTCATCTAGCTTCGCTGCATGCAGACTCAAGATAAATTCAGCGGGAATGCCTGCAACCCCTTCAAAAGCTGTCAGAAACTACACAAATATCCATGCACCCCCGAAAATGCTACCCAACACGCAGCCAGTAAAGCGACGCATGCTCTTATTCAAAATTATGAACCCTAGTAAACCGCGGAATTCAATGAACTTAGCATACTACGACAAGCTTAAGTTTAAGGAAAACTCAACCAAAGACAAAATACTGGACGACCTGAGACAATAGGTATCTATGCCCTAAACAACGGGAATCCAGGCTAAACAGGCTACCTTGTGTCGTATCGCTCGCCAACCAAACACAGTTCCATAAGTTGAGCCAGCGCTACTTCACGTAGGTTAACATCTAGTGACAAAGAGGAGACTACCCCATTGTCAGTTCACCTTCGTGATTCATCATGCGTCGTTCGGATATTCCCTGAGATCCTTTGAAGTGAGCGTCGACAAAGGAAGCAAACCCAAGAGAAACCCGAAAGCAAACCGACGAATAATCCAATTTTGCCCATGGTGTCCCTGAAATGCAGTCATGTGAGGAGTCGCAGGATATGATCCTGACTTGGAGAAATGGCGTTCTATCCGCAATGCCCTCTGTCTCCACATATGATTGTCAACTCAACCTCAAGGTTGCCCCTTATTAACAAAATAAAAAGAAAGTGTTCCATGGTTGCTGAAATTCCTGCTCTCCAAACATATGGTTGAAATGCTTCTCGGAATTTGACACAAATACAGTACCAAAGTGTTGATAGACATACGCCTGAACGCGGTGGTAACCAAGCAACCATTAATTATGGAAACACAAAATCCTCGGAAAATTGTCACTAGCCTGGCAGTTTGCTTTTCTACACAGACCTTAGCGCTGTTCTTTAGTCGTCCTAAAAGGATTGGAAAGAAAATTCGCCGCAGTTCCCCTCTGAAGGATTAGGTTTGGATGTTTTATGCAATCGATTAAAACGGCCCTCTTGAATAGGCAGAAATACAACTAAAACCCGATTGTCATCCGACTTCTCAAGCGTTGGTGTAAATTCGTGCAAAACGTTTGGGTTTACAGCTATGCCTCTGACATCAGGTGCTTTAAATTGTTTGTATACAAACGCCCAAGGCCTTCTTAGTAATTTCGCTGAGCTTCTATCTGGTCCAAACTCATAGTAACTGAGACATGTCTTAAGGACATAATTACCAACGCCGAGATCGCACTTTCCGGTATATCACTCTTGCGTAATGACCGGCCCACAAAGTTAGGTAGTGTAATTCACTACTATCGTTCCCACCTATTTATCGACCGCGTAAACGACCCTAGGGATTGAAACCGTGAACACCTTATGATGCTGCATACACCTGACATAAGGCAAGATTTGCTTACTGGCTATTGTAAAGCGCCCACAAATGTCCAACGTAGAAATGGACCTGACGTTAATCTTGCACAATCATATAGCCACATTCTCGTGGTAGAGGACTACAATCTGCACTGACTAGAAACTCAACCCACTCTCGGTGAGCAATTCGAGGCGGAACTACAAGACCTAATCATTGGTTCACCGCAGTACAACCATGTCACCTGTTAACTTAGTTCAGGGCAGCAAACAAACCGATAACCGTAAACCACCTTCTCACCAACGAGGAGCTCAAGATCAAGGTAATAACATCGTGTACTTCTATGGGGCACAGCGATCATACGACACTAGTGTTCCATAACATGTGCTACGCGCAGCATCCTATACAGTATGCCGAGGGATCTCACGCCCCAACCAAATATGATGACCTGTCCGACCTCCTTGGTGTAACAAGCTGGTCATTCCCAACCAACTTGTCCCCTGAGATGGTTTGAGAGAGATCCTTCAACAGAATCAACAAGCTCGTGGCAAGCATTTGAAACCATTTTAAACCGATCTAAATTGGTGAAGTCTATGGTAATGGACAGGACACGTAAATGCATGGCATTGAATGAGTTGGCATGGCTCACGTATATGGCCCCTCCGAGCGAGGACATCTGGGCTGGCTACACAACACAATTGAATCACTGTGTCAAACTAGTCCGGGAGGATAAAGTTAAGTAGGAACAAGAGATGGTGGAAACATGTTGATCTAATCCCAAGCTGCTATACGGGCACGCAAACAACCTGCGCCGGGTTAAACGCGGAATCCCTGCTCTGCACAAAGCATGTGGTTTAGCACATGCGGCAAAAGAGGCAACCAACATTCACGAACAACAATTTGGCCATACCTTCTAAGGCATGCAATCGTCTTACATTCTGCTTACGCTGATCCTGTTGTCATTAGAACTTAATCCCATATCGGTTACATCCATAGCTGTGCTAAAATGGCTGAGGTCCCTGCGCGAGTTCAGCTCCCAGAGTGCGTAGGGCACTAATTTAAAGGCATTGAAATTTACTGCCATGAGTTTAGCGGAACCGCTAGTAATTCGCTTTCAGCGCTGTCTTAACGGGATTCTCGTTTCCAAGAAGGGGTTAGCACGGGCTCATTACTCAACGCTACAATGGTGGTCGCCGTGAAGGACCATCAAATTTTCGCCCGATAAAATACCTTCCATTGGTCTCCAAGGTTATATGGATTCCATTTTCATTCAGGATTTAATAAGTCACCTAATGAACAGCAAACTTTTCGTTCCAGCACAGTACGGATTTGGTAAAATTGATCCAGAAATATTAACCTGTTACTCATTCTTGCATGCTAGACAGAACCTGTGGATCTTGGTGTAGAAGTCGATGCGGCCGCCCTTGATTTCTTAAAGCTATTCTACCGTCTAGACCATGGCATTCTACTGCACAGACTTCAGAAATATTAGATCGATGCTTTCGTTCTGTGCTGGTTCGGTGACTTACGCATCCAGAGTCACCTGAATCTAAGGGCTCGCAGCATCCTATAGGAACCAATCCAAGTCCAGTGCGACGTTCCTCAGGGATAGGTGTTCAGCCCCCGTCTGTTCCTCGACCTGTATAACTGATTTCGCGAGAATACTATCTTCAAACTGTCTAATATTTGCCGATTCCCCAAAGATATAGGGTGCTATAGCTACAGTGGGGGAAGACAGAGACTGACAGCATGACGTGGACGAAGCATATACATAGTCTATCAAGTGAGTGCTGCATTTCAACCCCACTAAGTGCAACATTTTCAGTATACGACAAAAGAGTGTTCCCAACTAGTGCCCAGAACCATAAATGCCACAGTGGGGTTCTCATAAGTGCGATTTGGGCGTTCGTGTTCTAGATGACTTCAGTTGTTTGAGGCAGACTGAAACGGTATCAAAGAAAGCAAACCAGTACTTGGCCTTCTTACTCGTGCGTTCTGGAAATTTGGCGATTCAATCTTTCCGAAGATGCTTGGTGAGTACTTAAAGCCGCAAGCGGAATACGCTATTCATGCGTGGCAACCCTGACTCTAGCACCATCTCACCGAGCACGATACTGCACAACGCAGGGCGACCAAGAACCTCAGAGGTTTGTTCCAACTTCCCTACCATCTATGGCTGAAAAATTGCACAACGTATAGCGTTCGTTATCCTCATCTAAGAGCCGATCTCATAACGGTGTATCAGATCCTGGGAACCTCAAACCACACATAACATTCTCTTTTGAAACTCAGTCAAAACATACCTCGAAGAGGTGATCATTTTATGATGGTCACACAGTACAAGCGACTGCAATGTCGACGAAACATTTTCTTCCTCTGAGCGTTGCAACCATAGAACACCCTCGTGGCACGTGTTATTAATGCTCCCACCTTAACGCTTTTCAAAAAATGGATCGATGATACTTTGACACATTGACACTACAAGATATCGTCACTGCACATCAAATGATGGCATTAATACACTACAAACAACGGAAGGTGTCATATCCCTACTCACACGTGTGTTGCTCCAAACCCCTTGGTGGCTTCTGTACCTCAAGCATTCTTTTACTGGCATCATATTTTTATTTTCTTGCAATTATCACTTTAACTAAGTTAACTGCCAAGCTTTCGCTTTAAAACCCGTCATAAACCATCGCACAGTTGCATGCAGTAAATGCAAACCTCACTCGAATTATTAACCACAAATTAGGTTTACACATGCAGCTTGGCGTACAGTTATCCAGAAGTCATTTAACGTCTACGCTTCCACGTCTCAGACGGTCGTATGTAGACCAACAATTACTCGTGTGTTTGATGGCATAATGAAGCTGAATTCTGGAAATAATCTCAAACACAGTAGTACTGTAACTGCTCACCATAAACTCTCCAAGTGCATTTCTTATCTCGATGTACCAGGATGAAACCGTCGACCTATGAATAAAAGAAATATTGCAGAAATAAAGTAAATCGCTTGAATTTGCTCCATCGGCTTGTCAAAGCGAAGAAATTAGTGTTAACCAACCGTTGTATAGCTTGATTTACAAGTATATACTCGAACTGTTGTATTATAGCTTTCGGCGTTAAGCTCGCTTACGGTGCTATAAGCTGTGGTGCCAGACATGCGGTTTCCATTAGACAATAGATGAAAATCAAAGCGATTTACAATTCATTTGCATGCGGACTACGTACCATTAAAGAGTCCAACATACGATTGAAAGTGAAAAATAGCAGAAGGCGAATGTGTCCTGTTGCTCCGAAACCTATGGCAAATCCTTACTCTTGACGGGATAGGTTGTGAGACATTTAGAACAGCCCAACAAAGGCGAATAGGGTAGAAAAGCAAGCAATTAAAGGATAACATAGAATGACCAGAAGAAAAATCGCCTAAAAGTTGAGGAAATAAAATCTTGTGATACATTAAATTGCGTTTTTGTGGACACAACATACCTTTTGCGTTGAGTTATTCACAAAACAGCATGTCTTGTGTGTACATGATGATGTTGATTATTGCACTGTTTTCTCGTCGTATCTATCTCGATATACACAGGTGATATTTCGTAACATAGATTGCCTAGCACAAGGTCATGACGTTTTGTAGACACATATATATTAGGATCAGAAACAAAGCAAGTAGATGTTGACTTCTATGCCTGACAGACGCGAGTGAAGTGAAATCGTTTTCTACACCCTAGCCGTCTATATTATTAGTTAACTTGAACCGGTGTGCTTTTTCTTACTGGCAATAGGTGACAGCAGATATGGATAGGGTTCCTCAGAATCAGCAAGGCTATTATTAGGTTTTTACCTATCATATAACATCAGGGATCTCAACTTAAATTGAGAAGGAAGATGGAATAATTCTTGGATGAGACTGATGTATAATCTTAGTGGAGTTTGCAGCACTGCTAGATCTTTCCTGTGAAAGGGCTGCCAGGCACGGATTGCAACTATTCATTAGGCTGCACGCATTTGTTAGGCTTCAGTAGGTAGAGAGATATACCTAACTAACCGACTGTCCTCCGAATAGGGCCAGGTTCAAAAGAAGACAAACTTACTTCAAAAAACGTTGAAATCTGCACTATTACCTAGGGAAATAACTTCCTTCAAATTACTTCTTGAAAGTAAACAAGTTCTGAAGAGGCGAGAACAAATTGTTTTTTACCAATCGCCAGTCTCATGAAGGAAGCACCCATCTCGAAAGGCACAATAAAGACTAATCAGACCACAATGGTACAAAAATTACTCACTGGAATAGTTCCCACCGATTTTTGCCAAAACAGCTCGCCACAGTCAACACGAAGTCTTCAGATAGAAGTACGCCTGTACACGTTTTCGGTTCATGGGTGATGGGTTCCGGTTCTACTTCAGTTATCCGGACAATCCAAGGATACTCCAAATTGGTTAGATTCCTACCGCCAATCATGCGCTTCTGCATACGTTCTGGTGCAGCTTTAGTAAGAAAACATGAACAAGGGTACGTGAGCTCCAAGGGTAATCCAGTAGCTTTTAATTCAAGTGGAGAGTGATGTGAATTCTAGTCGAGAAAACATATATTTGCTGTTCCAAATTGCTTATAGGTGGTACGAGTAAACAACGGTACGATTCTTCGAACCCACATTGATACGCAACTGCACTTATCTGAAAGCCTTGTTAATCCATGATCAGCTGGCAGACATCATGGATGCTCAAGTGATAATCGTATACAGTCGCGATATTTCACTAATTATGTCGAGCATTACTTTGGATGAGCACGGTTGTGCCATTTTTAGAACATTCTTTCCAACCGTTTTAGATTTGTAGGACAAATTCATGGATTAATCCTTCAATGGAAGTCAATCACCTTAAGGGAAGCATTGCACGACTGTTTTATTTGGGATATTAGGACGAAATTTAACCTTTCCAATGGAAAAATGTAATCAACCGTTATCCCTCTTACCAACACTGATGGCAGTGATAAACAGCCAGATTGCTATAAACATCTTCCTGAAATAAAAAGGAAATGATAATGGCTTTAATGTGACAATATCTCTGGAGCACACCAAGTGGTGCGTAATAGAACTTGGTTACTTCGCTTGTAGGAACACTATAAAATGCAAGCCTACAACACACGAATATGCATGTGAGCACGGCCGTAGTAAACGGTACCATCCACAGGAAACGGTTACCAACCTAAAGAGTACCAACGGCATCCGTGGTTTAAAGTTGTTGATGATCACTTCTTCACTAGCCATTAGGTACCCGCTTTCTGCGCTGACAGTGATCGATTGGGTCACCGCAGACCTACAGACTCTGTAGGTCAAATATCGAAGGTTGTTCATTGGTCATTGAATGCAGCATGTCTGTGTGTGTCTTTGACTTCTCTGAACAAACGACAGGTACTGTTGCTCACTGAATCAAGGATTAGGGAGCCAGTTCGTCTATTGTTACAGTACCACCTTCATCAGTCCATACTTACAGTATATAAGAAGGATAAAAACGACTATGGAGTGATGTGGTTGGAGGGATCAACGCTGAAACACTCATTAGCAAACAATTTCTTCAGATATGACATCGTAGCCAGCTCAAATAATCTATCGGTTCACAAGATTCATTATCTCGATAAAGATATAACTTGTGTCGCAAGGTTTTCCATTATCTTCAACGAATTCTTTCGTCTTATTTAAGTGCTCCTTAACAATCCACTTTAGTACGCAATACATGCATACCAAGTTATCCGTGCTAATTTTCTAGCTAATTTGACGATTTCAAAGTGACGTTTACGCTAATCTAAATGTTCAACGTTTCCCATATCCAGCACAGAGTTATGTTTAATTATGTAGGGAACACATGTTCCACACTCATGTGGTTGCTTAAAAGGTGGTTAATGCATTCAGAAACATTTGGTGGTACCCATATATGTTATCGTTCTATCATATAGCGTATACGCCATTTGCGTCCTATCTATACTAATGAGATTTAGTACGTCGAAAAAAATAAAAGCTGGATAGCAGGGGGAAGATAATAGCCTAAACATTAAATTTTCTTATTTGAAACTCGCAACCCCATGTAATATTTTTGCTTTCAAGCCGCAGACTTACTACATCGCAATCGAAATCTGCATTCTAGCAAATGTAGAGCTAAGATTAAAAACATTTTATTTGACAGTAAGAGTGTCATCAAAATTCGTATCGGAGGACTCACCAGTGCATGCTAATTCTTCGGGAGCTTTAAGAGTTTTTTCCTTATTTCTATCTAAGGAAATCTTAAAATATTTGCTTTTACTGCGTGAAAGATCCATTGGGTCATTGTTCCATCAACGGTCAGCCTAACGTGTTTGGCGTGCTTGCCAGTTAACTGTATTCTGACTGTAAAGCATGAACGCTGTTTGGCTGAAGTTTAAGATCAGAACATCCAGGTATAATGGTAAACGGTATTGTTTCACTAAACGCTATCAAACGATACAACTTCTCAGACATACAGTAATCAGGATGATAACCTGTTCCAGTGTTTGGTTAATTGGTCGATCTACGTAGATGACAAAGACATGGAGATAAGTCATTCGTTCCCATCAATGCACCATTGTGGGGGAAAGGTCTTTTCTGGGAACCTTGGACGAAGATGCCAGCCACAGACAATGCTGCCAACAATGGGAGTTGAGATAGAGTAAATTCACTTGAATATGGATAAACCTAGTCGATAGCATTACAAGTTGTCATAATAGTAACTAAGCGATGAATATTTAAGAGTTAAACAAAGCTATTTATCATAACGTTTTGATGGATTACATCTATCAAAACATGTTGATCAGTCGAGAATTATTTCAATAACTGTTTCAGTATGTCTGCAAAATTTTAGCTGACGAAAAGTATGGTAGTGGAGCGGAATAAAAGCAAGTACAAGTACGCGTGTTGTTAGGAATATATAATTCCTAAAACCCAGCTTGTAAGGTGATACCGCCAAACAATCCCAGCTCCAAACCAGGGCGTCACGGAAGAAGTTTCAATGGGAATAACTGCACAAGCATCGTGTATGACACAACCTCTAGTGGATAGTTCGATGATGATTAGAAGGTTCGCTGGTCAACATACTTCCAATGTTGGGTGGTATTTGACTTACATCGTTGTAGGCACAAGCACATTTGGAGTAAAGACTTTGATCTTATTACTGAAGTGCCTTGAATTGGTAGGTATATTTCTCAAGCATTCCATTCAGTTCACCTTGCCCAAGTGTAAGACAGACTAAAAGTATATCAGTCATTTCTATCCGGAATTTCTGCACAATTGTGTGGCGTCTTGAATGTTGGACCCATTGCACGTTTGCTTCGAGATAACCGTTTGGATCTGCCTCTGCTTTTTGTCCACAACAATAACCTGCCCCTAAATCGCAGCCTTTGCCAAGTCATTCAGTGATCGGAACATCTGATATCGGAAGTTGAACAGGGATGCTAGTTTTTCTTATCATAGACCGTAAATACCGCTAATTCATGGTTTGGTCGTTTGACCGCCAGTCACCGAAGTCCAAGTCTCAAATACAGGACCATGAATATTCGCAACTGCTGCAATCCATCAAAAAGGATTGCAGACGATTGCATTGAAATGAAACGTCGCACATAGAATTCACTGAGCTTCCGGAAGTCTGCACAGAGACAATACGTCCCATTAACAATTTGAACAAAAGCGAATAAGCTCTGCGACTCCTCAATCCCATATGCATTCAACATCTCCCGTACTTTCTTCTTCATATCAGCCTTTCAAGTGGTAATTATCCTCCAAAGACATTTTGATCCATATGTCCTACAAGTTAGCAAAAAGGTATCTGTGATCCAGTCAAAAAATCCATATTGGCCGCCGTCATTCGGAAACGGGAGTTGGTGTGCACTGGTTTTGATTGCAAGGACGACATGGCGTGTAGCACGGTAAAACAGCTTGCAAGGTGCGGAATACTTGTAGTTTGGGTTGGTAGATAACGTTTTCATGTATTCTCCAATCTCAGTACTTACTCAGCTCGGAGAACGAATCAAACCTTTAGCTTGCAAGCTAACAGCTCCCTCACAGCAAGGGAGTGGCAACGCCTTGTTTTTAGTAGAATTCCTCCTTGTTTACACTGACCGCACTCTTGTTGTCGTCCGGGAGGAACTTACACAATGTCTTCTACTTCAGGTCTGACGCCTCAGCAAAGACAAGTGTTAGTTTTGGTTCTCAGATTCATACGAATTGCGCCTTTACGCCACTTACACACCATGCGGAACCGCCGAAAGCACAATGCCCATGGATCCAGAGTTAAGATTCTCAACCCGCTCATGGCTGATCAGAAATATAGTGACACCCGTATCCTGTATATGCCGTTCCGTCGTCCCGTCCACTTCCACTGTCATTTCGACCTCCCCACCAATTAATGCAACGCACAAACCTTCTTGAAACGGAAGTAACTGAATAGGATTTTTTGGTACGTAAGCCACAGGATGTCACACCGGTCATCGTGCCTTCCGGCTTTCGGGCAATGCGGAAAGGGAAACATCCTTGAAATTGCTTCTCCGATTGCTGAACAGGAAGGTTACTAATGTTTTGAACCTACGGTTGCATTGTCAACTCTAATCAGTCTAACTGCTCCACACGTTCACTGGAAAATCGCTCGGCTCACAAAACACTTGCACAAGACCCTATATAAGGGAAATATCCGGTTGATGTTCGAAATCTGTATGCGTCCGCTGTCGTGTGGGGAAGACAGATTTGGACATAATTACCCGGAAGTTGCTGTCCTGACGTTTCATTCACTTCAGATAGGCCGCTCTACAACAACCTCTGGATGTGAATTACATAATTAAGTTGCTCCGTCCCTGCTACGAGCTCGGCACACTTAAGCCTCCCAATGGTATCCCGGCGGTAGGCTGGTATATCTCATTCGGAGGGAAATGTCTCTATCACTGCGGCTAACTCCGACTTCGCGGCTGATGCACGACCACCTTCATCCAGCTTTAAGGAGACGCCGCATGAGCGCCATATTCTCTATATTATTACTCAATTAAAGCGCCTGCGACATGTCCTTAATTTGTAATGTAAGGCGCGCACATCCCCATCTTTAAACAGTTACGGCCACAGTAATTTCTTGATCTTCCTTGTCATGTCACAGCACTAATGGAAGAACCCAAAGTGTTAATCGATTTGTTTATTGTTGCCGTTCTAAACAAGCGCTCCAGTTCTGACCACCGATTTTAGAACTCTCTCCTGAAGGTTGGATCATGCGTGCTGCTTCTGCATCCACTCTTATAGCAGTACACACTTGGCTACCTAGAGTTATTTTTCAGTTGGGGCGTTGGCCCTTTACTGCCTGCTTTTCTTGTTACGTCGTTACTACTAACTCTTAACGCGGTAGTACCCTGTGTTGGCTCACCTTACTGCTAACCAAACCAATTTGGTCAGACAACATTTAAGACAAAGTAGCTCTCATTAGTTATAACCTTGTGAAGCATGCCCCTCCTAGGCTCGGTCGATGTCCGTAATGCCTATTGGGGCACGGAAAATTTGCAAGCAAAGGGGTTTCGGAAAGTAACTTTCAAGCGTTACTAAGAGTACACAGAAGAAATCATTTGCTTTTGTAAAGCATTGCATTTAATCGTTAAGTAGCCTAACATTGTTACATTACTTAGTTCAAGCGGAACCTTAATCAACCCTTAGGTGGTGGCACCACTGGCTGAACATAGATGAAAGGAAGTTGTCAAATGTTCAGACAATAAGCTTGCTGCACTAAAAAGACCGAACGATAGGGCAGTGCCTTTTCGTGGTTCGCTAGGCAGCCAGTGACCAGACACGTCATCATCTAAAGACATTGCACTGCGACGAAGAAAGGGATCCGAATAATCAAAAGCCTCAACAAACTTTGCGAACGCTAAGACGGTCAGTCCTATCAGCACTGCTTATTTTTCGTGCAGTGAAAACACACTTAAATCCGTATGTGCCGGTTGCAGTTAAAAGGCAGGGACGCTTGCCGTATTATCTTGGTG